GTAAGCCCCGGCTTGCTTTGTGGTCCAGCACAGGGTTGGCTTAGGCTCCTTTTTGTGTGCATGTGTGTGTGTGTGTGTGTGTGTCCTGCAGTTACAAGATAATACACCCAGTTCAGCCACCAAGACCACAAAGTTTGATGGAAGCAGGAGTTGAATATTCTACAGTCATTCTTGTTTTACTTTCTGTAACTCTGACCAGAAAATGCCCAGTCAGCTCTGACCGACTCACTGACAGAACACAAAGTGATGAAGCTCAAGGCAGCTGCTCCGTCTTACACCGGAGAGTGCCACCAGGCAGACATTATGTAGATCTTTTTAGAGTGATGTGGACAAGCGGAAGAGGGAAAAAGTCTGGAAACAAATCAGGTGTTTCTTTTGGGACCAGTGTGTTCTGTGGAGGGAAATATCCTCATTCACTGAGGACTTTGTCTTTTTCGTTCAAAGTTTTGCAAACAACATCAAATGTTCACTGAAAATACCACAAAAATACTATAAAAAAAACACAGCATATTCAAGGCTTTCTACACACGGGTGTATTGCTTATTCAAGGACTGCTCAATTTAGTGAATAAAAGCTAGATTTCATTATGCTTTGCAGACTCTGAATAGGAAAAATGTTCAACAACTTTAAATGCATTCTTTACGTAGCTGCAAAAAATATATTTTTCAATTAATACATCAGCAGATACTGTAGCTTCTACTAGAATAGTTTCTGTTCATCATCCACTGCCAAAAATGGGCAACACTGTTTTCGCCCATGTGTTGCCTTTTTGTGTTTTGAACTACTGAACAAATTTTAATTAACCTTTTGGGAAATAATCAGATATATCACGATGAGTGTTTGGAGTCACGGCCAACTAACTTGAGAAAACACAACAATGGCTAAAAATATGTACATTTTTCAGACATTTTGCTAAAATTTGGTGCAAATAGTTTGAAGTTCATTTTACTTTAAACAATGTCAATTTTTGACAGTTTTTCACATCTTCACTGCTTTTCAGTAAATTTAACACGCTGTTTAATCCAAAAACTATACTGTATATTTTTGTAATATTTTCAAAGCCCCATCCTTCAATCACCCTTCTCATCATCATCATTAGAAAGAAAAAACAAAACAAATTTTCCTTCTTCTCTGTCAATTTGCTGAAATTGCTTGTCCGGTTTCATGATCCATAAAGTTCAGCTGTCAGACAACTGATTTTACATTTGATTGTATTTTCTGGTTTACAGAGGAATTCATGGTCAAATGATCACAAGTGCAAACCATTAGCCCTCCACCGCTGTGCTTGATAATGGATATCAGATGCTTGTGCCAAAATTGTGTTTGCTTTTTTAAATTCAAGAAGTGTACTTCTGATGTGTAAACAACCTTCCTTTGGTTTAAATTTAGGTTCAGATGGAACTTTGCACCAGTTCCTCAAAACTTTGCTCGGTCTGAGTTCGGGTTCACTCCTGCAAAAATGGGCAATTTCTTCTGCCTGAATAATCTTCTATACTGTAGAGTGATGGACTTCAAATGATCTTAGGAATGGCCACATAACACTTCTCGGACTGACGGGTAGCAACAATTGCTTCTCTGAAGATTGTTGCTGATGCTTTGTATCCTTATGATTCTGGTTACACCTGAACGCTGCAGACAAACAAACTGTCAAAATGTCTGCTTTTTCACAGACACCTTATAATCGTTATACCTAAAACATTCCAATGCAACACCAGATTAGTAGCAAATATCCACAATAATTACTCACAAAGCCATTTTATGTTCTGATTCAACATACAGACTATTCTTTTCTTGTCCTTTTCTGAGTCTAAACGCCTCACTTTATACGGATGGATTGAAAGCGTGTTGATACAGATCTAATGTCTCAAAAGGCAAAGATAAGAAAAACAGCTTGCAGAGATTTGCCTTCCATCTATTGTCAGCGACATGAAAAGCAAAGAGGCTGAAGAGGTGGATGAATTTGCATGTGTTGGTACACAGGCGATAAAATGTTTCCTTCATGTCGGCGCCTCATTTAAACAAAGTGGAGGCGCGAGTGGTCAGCAAAACAGCTATTGAGCCCCCTTCATAAATGTTTTACCATTCTGCAGGGCATGTGTGGTGACCGCATCAGCGAGACAAGCGTATTTATCTTTGCAACATCAGAGCGCTTGCAGCTGGAGGGGAAATCAGTAGGCTACACCGCTGATAAGATACACCACTACACAAAATGTGCAGTGGGTGTGTGCTCTTCACTTCATTCATCCTCTGAGGTCCAAGGCTGTGTTGCTCACACCACCTAGTGGTATTAGGGCTTGTGTCTGTGCCAAGATGATGACAGAACCCTCCTGAGCTCATCGTTCACTCTCTCTGTCTATAAACAACAAAGCGTGAAAGAAGACATCACTCGGAGTAAAACAGATCATTCGTGCTGAGGCAATTCCTCTAAGAAGAATAAACATGGGCACGAGCGAGAGGAAAAGCTGAAAGGCGAAGAGTTGAGCCGTGAAAAGAAGCGGCCACAGACCGATGAGATCAAAGGATCAGTGTCGGGATGCTGAAAGAATCCGTTGCAGTCCTCCGCCTGTGGACGTGCAGCTTCGGCGAGGCCTGTGATTGACAGGTGGGAATTTTTAATCCCTTGTGATTTTCCGTTCTTGTTTCATCTCCCCTTCCGTTCAAGAGGACATCCTACCAATCTCAATAAACGACTAGAAAGGCCGTTTTCTGCTTTAACTCGTCCACTTTCTTGCCACTTTGAAGACAAAGAGTGCCCTGGGAGAGTCCCACAGGTGAAGCACCACCAAGTACAGCTACATTAAAGGGGCAATATTATGTGTTTCTCAGGCATACATTTAAATACTACTATACCATAATAAAGTATCTATGTCACCTTTAGCTGTTATTAAAATGCTGTTTTTATGTTTAAATAGAAAATAAAGTGAGCAGTAGTGTTAAGATTAAGTTTCACTTTCACTTTGCTCTGTTACAGCCCAGTGTGTGTGTGTGTGTGTGTGTGTGTGTGTGTGTGTGTGTGTGTGTGTATAACGACCCCAGGAGGAACCCCAAGCACCAGGCCCCCGGGTACACCTACGCGAGGAGAGCCGCACACCCACCCCCAGGTCAAACCATAGGGGAGACCCTGCAGGAGAACCCCACCAGCGACCACATGCAGCAGCCCCACAGCGGCCCACAGCGACGAGCACACAGGCCCCCGCCAGCACCCGCTGCGCTAGGGCAAGAACGGGCATAGGCACAGAGGGCCAGGCCCCAAGGGCGCCACCCCCACCAAGCCCAGAGCCGACAGGGCCTGAGGACCCAAGCCCCGACAGGCAGCCACCAGGCTGAGCCAGCACACACCCGAGCACCCAGCCCCCAAGAGCCATCCGCATGCCGGCGGGCAAGGCACCCCCACCAGAGGGTGGTTTGGGATGGGGGCGACAAACGAACCAGGGGAGGGGGAAGTCCATGTCCCAGCCTGACACATATCCATGCATACACAAACACAATCATACATTCCCACACTCATCCTTGCACCCACTAATTCAAAGACATACAATATAGACACCACACTCCATTCACACTCCCGATACACACTCTTTACCCCCCAGGTCCAGGGTATGCCCCCGCCCCCCACAGAGGGCGGCCCACACCCGAACCCAGGAGGTAAACCCATTTGTCCTGGGGTAAAGAGGAGCAGACGGCCAAGCTCCAGCTTGGACCGCGCCGACTCAACCGGCCACCCCCACCCCAGCAAGGCCATGCCCCGACTATCTCCCAACCACCGCCAACGGCCAGGGGTACAACCCCAGCCGACACCCGCCGAAACCCGGCGACCACCCCGGCCAGCGGGCCGACCACACCAACCAGGAGCCATGAGGAAGTTCAACTTAAAGACACGTCCCAGGGGCATTTCTGGTCCCAAAAGGYGTTTCTGGTCCCCACCTGTCATTTTGCTCCTCAGCATGGCTGCCTAAAATAACATGATATAAAACTCAAAAAAGTTGATTTTACATGATACTGCCCCTTTAAGATGAAAAGAAGAGTGCCAGTCATGAGTGTTAAAGACCCCTGCTCTTTGGAAATTAATTTTCCCCTCACAACTCAATATTAATCACACATTTGCATGTAGTCGATGAAGCATAAAGACATAATTATGTGGTATCTGCACAATGTTTACTGCAAAACATTCTGCTGTCCATTGCATCGCCTCCACCACAGCCGTCTCTCCGTCGATGCCACATTTCCCCCCTTCACTCCTCGAGCGATTTGGAAGTAGTCTCAACGAGCAGCAAGAATCTTAAGTCTCCATTACGCATCAGTCAAACTGAGGAGCCGTGTCCACGAACTGCCAACGCCGAGTGCAGTTGAGCCAACGGACCAGAATCTGAGCTCTCCATCTTTCAGGAGGGTTTTGTCAGGAAGGGAGGGAAAAGAAGCAGGCGCTGTGATTGCGCACACACTCATCTTAGCAGAGACACAAGCGAAATGACTAACTGGAGTACCGATAATCAATTTTACATCTGTTCAATACATTCCCATCATTTAGCGTTGGATGCTTTTAAAACTGTTTTTCAAAGCGGGGCCTCAGAAAGCTGGAAGAAAGATATGAATTTTTTTTATTATTATATTTAACAAATGTTTTAAATCATATCAAATCTGTTTTTCAGTCATTATTTTAAAATAAAAATAATAATATATTGAAATGTTACTTAGGAGAGCTTAAGAGTTTTAATTTATTTTGTTCTTGTCTTATTTTCAGTTTGAAGTTGGGGTTTTTTCAGTGGGAATAAAATAGTGTTTAAACATGTTGGCTAATAAGACTTTTGTGCTAAACAAATATAATTATGAAATAGTAAGTAAAAGTGTAAAAAAGCATTCCAAAAGTTGTTACTTTGCATATTTTGTTGTAGTATTGTTTGTGGGTTGGGGGGGGGGGACCCTGGCCAAAAGCTGGGGGGGCATCCATGGCAAGAAAGTGTTTGGGAAACCCTGCTTTAAAAAAAAGTGCAGATTTTGAGTAAGAAAAAGATATTTAAGAAACAAAACACACAAGTGTACTGAAAGTAGCAATATTTTTAACAGTTTTGAGATACAATTATTTACATGTAACCAGACACAATGGTTTTAAAACGGGTACAAACTTTTTTTTTTCCCTCCCCACTTCCAGTATTTTTTTTTTTTTTTGTTTTTGTCAAACAACTCCGATATTATATAAAATAAAAAATATAAGAGTTTAGAGGGAAACAAAGAGGGAAGTCTACGTCATTTTAAATGTTCATTAACAGCTATGTACAGGAGTATTTACATTCTAAAATTTCCTTTAGACCAAAAAAAAAAAAACTTTGCAAAGTAATTAACAGTAAACTCTGTTGCAGTTCTGTTCACTGCAGCTCTACAAACCAGGTTCAATTGTAGTTTTGTACAGGTATGGCTGTAATTCGGTTCAGTGATCGTACATGTGAGCAGTACATGACAAGAGGCTTTCTCAGAGGTTCAGGTGCATAATCACATGTAAAAATGACACGACAGCAGAATAAATAAATCGGGAGCAAATGTCCGATGCAATGAGGGAAAAGCATGAAGCTGCTGGACACGCGTTGTTAGTTAATCACAGGCAAAAAAGAAGTTTTCTAATTCAGTGATTTGAAAACTGTGTCTTTTTAAGCTAAATCTAGTTTAGTAAGAAATCTGTCACATAAATACCCAGCCTATGAGCTGATCTACTGAGGCTAATTAAACCCAAACAACATTCAAATAGGTAACAATGTTGCATTTACACAAAAGGTGAAAGCTTTAAATTAAATATATATTTCTCAAAATTATTTCATAACAAATTTTAAAAGCACAACAATCATTTGGAGCAACTGATCAAACCTGTGAGATTGAAATGCACATTGTAATTGCACAGCTGAATTATTTAAAATTTAAATTATCTAAAACTAAAATATAATCCAAATACATGGGTGATGAGAGAAAGGAAAAAAAAATTATATTAGCTGTATTTTCCTAGTGCTGTTTTTCATTCAGAGAACACCCAAACATAGCTGGTGTGTCGAGCTGTCCTGACTTCAACAGTAATATGTTGTTTGGAATGAAAGAAAATAAAAATAAAAAATTTCAAGGACTTGAGAGGAACCTAACAATATAATGAATCAAAAGCTAAAAATATTTTTGGGCACCAACAGAAAAAACCAAAGCTTACAAATCCTTGTTCCCTTCAACATTCAGTTTAACTGCAGACATGTAGGTTAATGGATGTGTGCATTCGAAACCACTTCACACTGGCTTACATATAGACATCATTCTAACATCCATGAAAATGATTGATTTCCCTGCTGATCAATTATTTCAACCTTGGCTTGGACGTAGATAGGCAGAGATTAAAATGTAATGATCCATAAAATCTGATTCAAAGCTTCACACTCCAGCTGCCCAAACCAGAAATCACCACTCGACAGTGAATGGGACTCTCCTCCTCTGTGGCCCGTTGTTGTCAAACCTCTTGGGGATGACGCATGGAGCGGCCCGCTTCGAGTCCATTTCACTTGACATTCCACAGAATATTGAGAAGCTTGCAAGATTATTCAGTCGAGCCTCCATGCATTTTTTTTTGTCTGAGGATGAATCTGGTTCGGGTTTGAAAATGCGGCGTTCGTTGGGTGACAGAAAATCTTGCGTGTTTGTCGGCGAGCAGGGCTTTGGTTCAGGCTGAGCTCCAGAGTCAAACTCTTTCAGAGTTGAAAAACAATTTGTCAGCATCGTTTCTCTGGGAGATTTCTGAGCAATTGAGCAAAGTTGAGGAAGTGCAACTCCAATGTCTCCTTGTGGCTCCTGTTTAGTTGGTTGTGAAGGGGAAGGGAGGGGGACCAGGGTGGTCTGGAATCCCTTTAAATGTGCAGAGTTTACTGTGGTTCACTGTTTGTTAACAGTGTTCCAGGTATTCAATGACCCGTGAGATAGACTTCTGTCCTGTGGTGCCCATTGCACACTGCATGTGGAGACACAAGAGGGAAAATAAAGCAAGAGTGTGAGACGGTGCTGACATGCACAGCTGTGCTTGTAGGGTCTTGAGGCACAGACAGTAAAGATTTTCTTTTTTATTTTAAGGCTTCCATTCAAAAGGCAATTTTTATGAAACAGATGGTTCCAGTCATCAGTTCTGACAGGACGAATTACATTTAAAGCTGCTGCAAAACGCCCATCTGTGACTGTGAGACGGTTCAATATTAATCCAACCAATTAGTGATTTCTTCAAAATTCATATTACTACTTGAAATAGGCTGCTCCCTGTACAAATTACAATATAATTTAAAATCTTACCAGCATACAAATCATCCAACAACCAAGCTCTGTATATAAAGAACTGAATTGATCTTAATAGGATCTGATTCTGGATTTGAACTAAATTTATGATTTAGACTTTTCTTTTGTATAGATATATTTTATTGTGAATTGGTGCTATATAAATAAACTGATATTACCTACTAGAACACAGAATTTATAAAACTGAGAAGAACTTATCACATTTTCTTAACAGCTGTTTTTCATAAGCAGCAACTGTGTGATTTATAACAGCTAGGAAGCTATAGAGAGATTTTAGTTGAGCGACTTTTATAGACATTTGTGTTCGAGATATTTGGCAGTCTTCTTATAAAAAAAGATTGCGGCTGAAAAAAATTCTAACAAAGAGGTATTTTAGCCTCATAAGGAAGTGGTTGGTTTCAATTATCATTGTTTTTGTTCAAACCACAGCACTTCATAAAAAAGTGGTTTTATGCAAATTGCTTTTTGTATCTCCTTTTCAATGTACATTGAACCAAGGCCTGAATTAACACTTAAAGATTTGCCTACATAAATCTTCACTTTTATATTTGATTTGTTTGAAATTTAGCAACTGTTTTTGCCTTTGCAACTTCAGCTCTGTGTCAGTACCATCATACAACCCTGAAAACACGATTTAGCCTGTCAATCATACTCACAGTGAGGTTCATGAAGCTCAAGAACTTCTTCAGCATTTCTGTCATGATAGAGAAATCCCCTTTAGGAAGGTGGTTTCTCACAGTAGTCACATTTATCTGAGGATGACAGAGAAATTGGTGACAAACATAAATATCTTTGGGTTAGAAAATATTCCCAAATCAAATTATAGTGTGTGTGTGTGTTTGGCATATTCTCACCTGGCTGCCCTGACAGAGGCAACCTAGTAACAGAGCTGTGTAGGAGGCAACAATGCTGTCCTCCATATGCTTCCCTGCATGCTGCAGAGCTACAGCAAACACGAGGGATAAAAAAATGGCTTTAATTATGGTTACCTTATCTAATATAAAACTGGATTTTAAAACACACAAATCAAATCACATAYGCAAGCTTTAAGCCTCAACATTCAAGCAGTATACTGGAGTTTTGCTGATTTGAATTATAATTTCATAATAATTTAATCAAGTATAAATTACAGTGGAAAAACTCAAAGCTATAATTAGGACAGAGCTATGAAATAATAATGGCTCCAGATTTAAGCAGACGAGTCTGGACCTGAAACACATCTAAAAACGACTGCCTTTACATGCACGACACACACAAGTGTCTACCTTTATTTAGGTCCAGCTCTTCATCCTCCTCCTCCTTCTTTTCAGTTTGGCTGTCGTTGGTTTCAGACGCCACCCACTGGATCTCTCCTGACGTCTCCTGCCACTCTCCACTTTTGTCCAGCGCCGGTTTGGGAGCCTCGCTGATGAGATCGTCCGTCTTCGCCTCGGCCAGGATGGCGGCACGCTCCCTCTCAAGGAAGAGCTACAATTTAGCGGGAAAACAACATTTGGGATTTTAGGAAACAAACTGCAGCTGGAGTTTATTAATGTTTTTTTTTTTTACAAAATCTAAAGGAAAATTTAAAAATATATAATTGAGGATGATTCGAAACTGATTAGTCAGGTGTACTACATACTGTGATACAAATCTTTTGTCTTAAAGAGGCAATATCATGTAAATAAACTTTTTTGAGTTTTATATCATGTTATAATGTTATACTCTCAAAAAACATGCCCGAAGCCTTGCTCTGAGTCATTCATGTATGTTTGAGAAATCCTGTAGCGTTTTTAGGAAGCCATGCTGAGGAGCAAAACGACAGGTGGGGACCAGAAAGGTCCCTGGGACGTGTCTTTAAGCCGAACTTCCTCATGGCGGAGTACCCCCCTCCCCCTCCCCCCGCGTCACAACTAAAGGTGACATAGATACTTTATTATGTTATAGTATTTAAATGTATGCCTGAGAAACACATAATTTTGCCCCTTTAAGTCTTGTTTTATAAGAAGCCCTTTTGTTGACAGGTTTATCAAGTTTTTCTTTACTTTTTTTTTAATTTGAGAAAACTTTGTTTGTAGTGTTATTTTTAAAAAAAAAAACCATCTAAATCAACATTTTGATTTTAAAATTCAATCCAACAGCAAACCATCCAACAACTATGTTTCCTGAATAGTATTCAATCTGTGAAAAGAACTTGACTACATCCTTGTGAATTTATTGATTGAATTTATTGAATCTTGCGGCGTAAGTTTTGTGCAATGTGGAGAAATTCAAAATGAAAGACATTTCTGACAAAAACAGCAGTTTCCCACCACCACCTGTGCATTCATCAGAACAGTTAAAAAWGCAAACATTTTCCCCTCACCACAGCTCATCTTTTTGTTTATGCTCAAATCATCATTACAGTGGAAGATATAAAAACCTCTCCTCTTATTAAGACAAAATAAATGCTTGCAGAAACAACTAGAAAACATGTATTTTGTACCTTCACCAGGGCTGCCAAARCTCCTGAGGGCTTCGGGATGTCAGCCCCGTCTCCCTGAGCCTCAGCTGACACTGCTGCGGTCTCCGATTGCGTTTGGTCAGCAGGTTGCATCAGGCTGTCTTCCAAACATGCGTCATCCACTTCGTACTCCATCTCCACCAGACAGTGGCGGTTTCTGGAGCTGTACTCCACGAGGTTAATTAGGAGCCCCAAACCCTGATATCCACAACAGAACAAACAAACCCAACAGAGAAAAAGCAGGTTAGGGAGAAATCCCGTTTGTGATGTATTGCTGTGTTCCTGAAAACGACCTTACCAATACTCGCACGTCGAARCGTTGCTCCTGTGGGATGTAGCGTGGCACCCGAAGGACACAATTGAGAGCGGTCACTATTAGCTGCTCCTGCTCACCGGTTTTAGTGCTTCCCCATTCTGCAAACAAGAAAAACAAACATCATTACTGACCTCTGCTCACACCAGCCAACATGATTCACTGCAGAATACAACAGACACAAATCTAGACGTTACTAATCTTGAGTGACGTGATTTTAACTGGAGTCAAGAAATGCTCAAAGTTGATTTATTCCAAGGAGTCTGAAACTAAAACCTGAAGCAAAAATCCTAAAACTTTAAGTGAACGTACCGTTGTCGTGTGTAAGGTTGAGCAGCACCCCTATAACTGCTCTCATACAATCCTCCAAAGCCTTCCCCACGTTGCTAAAGCTACAGTGTGGCAGTGTTACACCCGATGATGACACGGAGCTGTTGTTTAATGCTCTGCTGTACCTCTGGATCATATCCTCACAGCACTGCAAAGCTCTGGTGAAAGTAAGAAATAAGAGTTTTATGAGAGATCAAAGCAACGTGAAACAACATATGTTACACACAATGTGTGGATGAAAGGCCAAAAAAGACAACTTAGATTAGCTTTATCCAACTTTGTGTAGGCCATTTTGGTTAAAATGAAAAAGTTAACAGCCAAACGTTTGTGTATTAGGACAATCTGATTCCTACAATCAAGGTAAAAAATTAAAATAAAAGTAAGCTTAAAAGGGCTTTAGAGTTACTAATTTGGTCGCAAATGCGACTAAAAAAAATTTCCGGTCGCACTCATTCTAACAGGGTGGCAGGTCCATTTTATAACCCTAACGAAGGATTAAACAAACACTGCTTTCAACAAACTAAACAAACCCCAGAGCCGTTTTATCCAATCAGAGCAGAGCAGGACGGGTCTTTCAGTGAGGCCAGGTGCAGCCGCAACAAACTGCAGGTTAAAGCAACGGCCAGTCCTGAGTGAGTAGACCTCTCCTCCTACTGCACGTCGCTCCCAAGCTACCAGAGACTTTGGTCTCTAAAACCTAACTTTAAATTAAATACTTATGTGTCTTTGCACACATGACCAAACTCCTCATGAGAGACTGCTATGACGGGAATAAAAAAAAAAGTAGATTTAAGTTATTTTGTGTTGTGCAAAAGACAGATAAAAGCAGACAAAAGACTGCTTGGATTTTGGGAGTGTGTGGAAAGCTAGTTTATCCATGGCCAAAGATCCAGAAGGCCAAACTACAGGAGCTGTCCAGCTGAGGGGCATGTGTAGTCTAAATTARACATTTAACCATGAAATATTCAGGTTATGTTTGTAAGATGTTCAGCTCTTAAGCATTTGCACTTATTTTTTCATTTAATTTATCTTGAGATGTAATTTCAGATCATATAATCACTTTAAATATTTTTTCATTAAATTATATGTCTTGTACAACTTTGGTTCAAACAAAGAACTTGATTATTAACTAAATATTTGGATGTTAATACTGCCTTAATGAACAATGATTGAAAAAAAAAACAGCTAACCTGTAAAAACGCAACGAAATGTGGGTGCACCTAACTTTTGTGCTGGTGCACCTAAGAAAAAAAAGTTAGGTGCACCGGTGCAACCAGTGCAAAACGTTAGTCTAGCGCCCTGCTTAAATAAATGGCATAATAAAATGGTGCTTACCTAGCAGAAGACACAATAAGCTCAGAGTCTTTGTAGGCAATCAGGTAACTCTGATTTTCTGGGTTCTGTACTGTCACCTGTTAGCAGAATATCAAAGAGAAATGACTTTAGTGGAAGATATTTAAAATCAAAGTCTGTAAAAGTAATCTTAGTACAAAAAATATGAAATAAATAGTTCATATTACACTGAAATTTGATCAAAAGCCATACTTTAAGACAGGTAAAAAATAGTTTTTTTCCAAGATGGTCTGTGACAAAGTTCCTGTCATTTCGCAAGTTCAAGTAATCTCGTCCTTCAGTAAGTTTGAAAGGCAGAACCCAACTTACACTTTCAAGCACCCTCAGACACCTTTCAGCTCCCCACAAAGCTGCTACAAGATTATCTTTGTCATCTTCTTGGCTCAGGTTCTGAACGCACTCTTTCACTGTGGCAACACAAAAACACAACACACATTGTCACTTTTCTTCTTTTACAACTACTAATCAGGCGGCTGTGATAGACACAAAAAGAAAACAGATCAGCCTACACATACCTTTGTCCACGATGTGGTCTAGACCTCCAAGTAGCCGTAGTTCTTCTTTGAACCAATCCCCAGCCCTCTTGGAGGTCAGTGATAATAACGTTTCCATGGCGAGGTGGCCCGTCTACAAAAACGTTTCAAATTTGTAGAATTAAGAGATAATATTTCATTGCAAGTTATACATCAGGTTTAAATTCTTTGCATTATAATGAACAACATACCGTGATGTTTTCTAAGTCCAGATGTTTGTTGTGCACAGTCTCACACAGCTTCCTGATCTTCTCTTTGACCTTAGCCACTTCCTTTGCAGTGAGCTGATCCTGGCTGCCTGAGTAGTCTTGATCCATTTCCAGCAGTTTGATCATTAGCTCCAGGCATGCTCTGTCAAGATCCATGTTGAGACGATCCCGACTCAGAATGTACATCAGGGCAGCCGTGCACAGAGCGAGGTTCTGAAAGAATAAGGGACTGGCTTTAATAAATTGATTGGGGGGTTTAAGCAGCCTTGCCCAATATGAACATTAAAAAAAGGGTTTAACCTAAATAAAAAAAGGTCAGCTTTAAAGGCAACCACTAGGTGTACACAAGCACTTATTTTATTTCTATTGATATTCATACATTATAAAAATATTACAGCACTAAATTTAGAATAAACATATTTTTTTAAATAACACATTTCAAAGAGTGTCACAAAACAAAAACAACCAAACAAAAGTTACGCTCTTTAAAATAAATGGAACATTCTGTTATATAAATAAGTGTTCAAGCACGTGCACATCACACAATCATGTCACTCAGTTCTACAATAAACGGGAAAACTGGTTGCTATTTTGAACAGTATAGATAAACATGCTGAAAAATTTTCATGAACACCTGTGTTGCTTTTCAAACACCTGCGTGAGCCACCTGAATTTTAACTTATGGTGAGAAACACTGCAAATGATTATGTCTGGATGGCTAACGTTGGGTGATGCAGAGTGTTTGCAAAGTGTTAATGAACTACTGTTTCACTTGCAAAAAACAGAAAATAACACAAAAATCCAAGAAGAAGGACTGACCGGGTGCTGTGGAGCATCGCTAAGCATTTTGAAGACCTGAGCCACTTTCCCTCTGGCCCGCAGGTGCATCCTGAAACTGGGCATGGCACACCGTGTGGCCAGGCTGATTATACTGAAACAACAGAAATGGAGGAGAGAAGTTACAATAGCATTTACGTCCTAAATACTGAATTATTGGGAAAAAAAAGACAGAGAGGCTTTATGAGTGTTAAACAATTTTGACATACTGTACGTTTTCAAGTAAATTCACTTTGAGAGATAATAATTATCATATTTTCTGCACTACGTTTTTTTCATAGTTTGGCCAGTCCTGCAACTTATACTCAGGAGCAACTTGTTTTATTTTCCTCTTCATGACACATTTTTTGACTGATATGTTAAATGTTAGTTCATACTGACTGACAGGAACCAAAGAATAAACATTAGCATCTGTAGCCGTGAGACACTCTGTATATGTTGTTCCTGCATGTTTTTTAATGCAGCCCAAAACGGTAATTGAGCAACARAAAGAAAGTTTGAAGTGAATGAGAAACTTGTAAGGGAGTGCTGAAAAGCAGAGGATACTACTACTGTAATGAAGAAAACAAAACACAAAAAAAGCTAATGGCATGATGTGGAATGAGAATGGTGAACTTATCTGTAACTTGGCTTGTACTGTTAATTAAGGCTATTAGACATCCCAGGTGTGTTCTGGGTTGTTTTGTTATTCCAGATTAAATGTCTGTTCTTAGATTTTGTGAAAGAAAATTTCTAAATAAAATAAATGTTAGATGTTCTTTTGCCCTATTCATGATGCAATTTTTGTCCGATGCACCAATATGAATAAACTTTTGATCTAATCATTTCAGGGTTATTTGTATTTAGTCCCTGTAAGATGAGGCAAGACAAGAAAAGAAAAAAAACTTTTCAAAACCAGACTCTAAGGAGCTCACTGTGAGAGCACAAACTGCTTTATCCCTCTTACCTAAGGCATCTTGTGTTAAGCGGCTGGCTGCTCTTCAGTCCTGTTTCCAGATACTCAAAATCGTCTGTGAACTCCTGATTTTCTCCAAACTCCACCACGTCGTTGAAGTGCTTCACATGCTGCACCACTGTGTAGAGCTGTTAAATGAGGAATGGGGTTAATTACAGCCGTGCAACTGAAAAGCAGTGCACTGGAGACACGTCTGCACAGACATCAATGGAACAACTCTCACTGTTAAATTTCTCTGCGGGTTGCATTACAGATAATAGCTGACTGTTCTAATTCGCCTCATCAATAACAGCTCAGCATGTGGAGCCGGGCCTGATCAGCAGTTCTTTCTCTATGTTTACCAGTAGCAACAATCGTGTTGGGAGTGCGCTCTGCATGATATAAGGAGGAGGGTCTGGGTTTGAAACAGCATCAGTGTGTGGCGACAGCTCATTGGGGCTGGTAATACTGTACTTCAGGGGATCTGTGGCTAACGGCAGGATCTGAGGTTAGAAGGCTCATCTGTAACTGACACAAGCTGTAGGGGTGTTTAAATTATCAGCAACCGTCTTTGTTTGTACTTTCAACTCACAGTGGGGTTCAAATAAACAATAACGAGCTCGACATCCATGAAATGAAAGCCGTCCCTTTACTGTGTAACTTGCATCAAAGGGGTAAAAGCAGCATGACAAAAAGATTAATTCATAACAGCATGCAAACAAATATATAAAAAATAAAAAGTACCCCGAGTACAGAAGTTTCTCTTCACCTGCTGTTACTAAGAAAAAGAAAAACATCTCACTGTGACCTGAACTCACCTCTTTGTCCTCCTTCCTGCATTTCACYGCCGTCACAATATCCTGGTTGAGTCGCGTGGGCATGGTCTCTATCTTGATGACTTTTGGTGGAGGTGGAGGGGCTTTGAACAAGCCGTCATCTTTATGGGAGTTGCTGTCCTTGGTGCTGCTCGATAACACAGCCTAGGGACGAAAATAAGCAGGAAAGTGAGGCTCACGCCAAAACAACAAAATCTGAGTAATGAAATTTCTGAAGATTTTACCACAGATGAACAGCTTGTTAAGCACACACATCTGTGATAACTGCTGCTAACAGATGTCAAACGGAATAGGGTAAAGTTAACAGCAACTTTTAAATTCTTGTTGTCAGAAGTCACCATCTCTGAACAAACACTTAGTTCCACAGAGTAAATTCAGCACAAAATAAACAAAAACAGGTTCACTTGTCAGGTGAAATAATGCCAGAAACAATACAGGACAAAAAAAACTCACTAAAAGACCAAACCTTGTGAACAAAAAGGAAACACTAACAAATARTTCAAAGAAATTATTGCATAGCATTTGCCCTACGTGTGCACAATAAGAATGCAAATGTTTAAGTTAAATGATTTAAAAGTCACACTGACAGATTTCACTGTGTTTACTGTAGAGAAAGATGCAATAGAGCCAAACACAATATCTCACCGGAGCAGTATGAGATCGAGAAAGTGGAGGCGCGGGTACCTCCTCAGGCTCTGGTTGGTTCCAGTGGCGAGCATTGTACACGGCTTTAGATGGGGACTGGAGCACAAGAAAAAAACAGGAAACTTCTTATTTTTGACACAGAGAACACATTAAAATGTAATATGATGTAACTGGTTCCATTTATTCAATCATTCTACCATTTGTTATCACAGAAAAACAYCAAATTCATACATATAAATGCATGAAAAGCCTAAAAATAAAATGTTCCATTTTATATCCCTAAAAATAAAATCTATCTTAACTTGTATATTCATTATTAATTCAGATGGAGCCACTACGCTCATGCTGTTGATAAACTAGGACAAGTAGCCTCTCCATGCAGCACAAAACATTTCCTGTCAATGACATTGTGTGACTCAAGTACATATTACGCAGGCAAAACAGGAACTTTTAAATAAGTTGGAGGGAGTACACAGGCAGAATTAGGACAGATCACAAATAACCCAAAGCCACTGCAAAACATGATTAAATTAAAAAAAAAAAAGATCATGTGGAAGAAAAACATCCCAAATTGGAACTTAGTTATCAGATAAAAACAGGCCTGACCAGGAGGTAACATTCAAATCTCTGTTCATGACGCCCACATTTGTGCATGCTTCTAAGCACACATTTGGTCACTTCATGTGAGACCACATCKACAAGATATTCCCTGGAAAACAAAACTCAGCCACTGAGTCCACAAATGAAGGTCCAACCTACATTACTGCTGACTCATTGAATGTTATTACATAAAACAACTGCCATCAGYGATTTCCATTTAGCTTATGAACTTCCTCTTTTCTCTGTTTTTCTCTAAAGCTCTCCACTCATCAAATTTAAAGGGGCAATATCATGTAAAATCAACTTTTTTGAGTTGTATATCATGTTATAATGTTATACTCTCATAAAAAAACATGCTCAAAGCCTTGCTCTGACTCATTCATGCATGTTTGAGAAATCCTGCAGCGTTTTTAGGCAGCCATGCTGAGGAGCAAAACGACAGGTGGGGACCAGAAACTCCTTTTGGGACCAGAAACCCCTCTGGGACGTGTCTTTAAGCCAAGCTTCCTCATCACGGAGCACACCTCCCCACCCCCCACACCCCGCCCATGACTCCTGCAGGCTCTCAGCAGTAACAAAGTAAACATGTGAAACTGAAAGTGAAACTGACTGTCTGCTGAGCTCCTAACTAATTCTCACTCAGTGAGGCTCTTTTCAGATTCAAAGTACCTTTGAGGAAATGTATTTTCAGATGCCAAGTAAACTGCATCATGGTGCACGAGAACCCCCCCACCCCCACTCCCCCGCACCAAAATGGGCGAGACAGAAGCAGAAGGTGGTTCTTAAAGAGACAGAGGCCAATTTCAAGGCATTTAGAAGAGCAAGTGATGAGAAGATAAGTTTATTTTCTATTTAAACATAAAAACAGCATTTTAATAACAGCTAAAGGTGACATAGATACTATGGTACAGTATATGTATCTATGATTATGGTATAGTATTTAAATATATGCCTGAGAAACACATAATATTGCCCCTTTAACAATTAAGTCTATTTACAAAGCTCTAGTTTATGTCTGCTCAGTTTAGTATCCATTATATTAATAACATTAATAAAATCAAACTTGTACATAAAAGACAAAAATATGAGAAMATACAAAAAAAGAAGAAATACACTAATTATTACCTTTTTAGGTCCACTAAAAATCTTTTTGAATCCACTGGCTGTGTCCTTAGATTTATCACCTGGCTTTCCTGGTCGCCCCTTTTGCCCATCGATACCACCGGGGCTGGAGTCATCTAAGAACTCAAAAGCATCTGCAGGAAAAGTTTGGCATGTTTCCAAAGATTAGGTAGAGAAATTACCCARCTGGCATCACAGATCTGCTCTTGGTAACATATTTGTTTACCTGTATTACTGCTGGCTTGACTGTCCTGAGAGTCGCTGGTATGGGGACTGTCAACACTGGAGCTCAGCAGAGCTAAAGCTGCGGCCGCCTTTTTGGCCTTTTTTTCTCTGACCTGACAGCTCTCATCGTCGCTGTCACTCTCGCTCAGGTCATCAAAGCCAAAATACTTGATCTTGTAGCTGCTTTTGCCTGCCGCCAAACCCTCTGGACCCTCCTCATCCTCCTCGCCTTCTTTGTCCTCAAAGCCAAAAAACTCCAGCTTGGTCTCAGCTTTAGTCTTTTTTGTTTTCGTCTGGGCGTGTCTAAACCTTAATTATACAAGAAAAGCAGATTGGTTACGTCCACTCTGTTATTGAAGGGTTTTACTCAAACTATGACAAAAAAGATGGTACAGAAGACATAACTAAAACTGAACCTACTTTAGAATCCCAACTCTGTGAATAAAAAGATTTTTTTTGAAGTTTGACAACAACTAAATGAAATCCAGCCCAACATGATATTAAAAACTATTAAAACCAAAGTAAAGTGAGGTATTATGACGTTACAAAACACTGCATGCCCTAATAGTTTTGTTTCCAAATAATTGTTCTGCACATCTTACACAAATAAAGCATGCAATTATGTGCAGCATCATTAATGCAAGATATCGACTTTTCATAAGTCAACACACAAAACCCCACTTCAAAAAAAGGGCAATTTACAGACAGCCCTGCAAAACAATTATTTATTTTTTATTTTAATTGGAAAGCTATTTTTTCCTATTCCTTTCTTATGTTGCTGCTTTTAAAAGGCACATACGTATAACAATAAAAAAAATCTCACCTTGCAGGTTTAGTTGGCGGTACATCAGACTTCTTCTTCATCTGACCCGCCTCTCCGAGGTCAGCAGGGGTAGCAGGGGGCACCAGTTCATCAATGCTTCGCTCAACGGAATCCTGAATGGTGACATTGCAGACTGACACACAGGACGGGTGCAACACTGTGTAGTCCCGCACTCTCCCACCACCTCTGCCTGCTGACTTAGTTGCTGGTTTAGCACTGGCAGCAGTACTACTGGCACCAGCAGAAAGGACACTATTGGGTTTATCTCGGGCACTCGCTGTATCAGTGGGTGTGTCGCTGTTGCTTTCAACGGGCTCAGAATGCATTTTATCAGGTCGGGTGGGCCTCTGGTATTTCTTGCAGTTGGAGGCTCTGAGGGTAAACGGGGAGGGAGGAATGTTGTCTACGGGTTCTGGTGGAGGCTCTGTGGAATGCTCCTGCTCTATAAGCTTTAACTCCTCTGATGAAAATTCATCCCGAGAAAGAGAGGTTTGGAGGTCTTTGCTTCCTCCAGGTGCATCACTTGATAGTTTTTGTGTGGGGTCTAGATAAGGAGAGGAGAGAGCATGTGTCTGGGATACTAAGAAGTTTTGACTTTCAGAAAAGACTGTGTTTGAAGAAGTCAGGCTTGCAGGTTTTTGACTTTCGTCCAACGCACTTTTGTACCACGGCTGGTTGTTTTTCACATTCTTCTCCTCAGAGGCTTGCTTACCTACGAAAGAAGAGGGAAATTATGTACGGTTAGATAAAAACTGACTGAAAGTTACACATCTGAGCAATAAATAAACACAAATGCCCTTAACAGCAAATGTTGTCACAAGAAATACCTTTACCAAAGGCCCTACTGRGTCAGTTTTCTCTCGTTTACTTACTTGTAAATTTAGGTGTTACACTTGTAGAGCCTTGAGAGGAGGAAACAACGGTAGCAGTCACTCTAGTTTGCATTTCAGCAGTTTTTGTTGCATCCTTTTCTGCAATATTCGTTTCAGACACACTGTGTGAGGCTATGGTCTTGGATTCTTCATCACTGTCAAAACCAAATGGATCTTCTTCACTGTCACTGTCTTCAAGCCTGGGCCTTTTGGAAACATCAGCTTCCCCAGGTTTTAACAGAGGCCTCTTAGAATCTAGATGAGCTTTGTAGGTGGTTTCTCCCCATTTCGTAGTCAACGTGGGTTTCTTATTGGAGAAGACTTCTTCAAATTTTGAATTAGCCTCACCTCCCTTGCGGTTGTACGTTTTACCGAATCTGGATGTCATGTCGATTGCTGTATGTTACATATTCTCTGTGAACAGAAGTAAACAACCTTTAGCATTGCATAAAAGTATTGAGAAAACTGTACAACTGTATCAATAGGCACTTACACAACTGCAAGACAAATAACAGTTGTGAACATGTCTGCTCCTGTAAAACAACGTTGGCACCTACTGAATCAGTCAACATTTTACTGAAAATTGTGTAGAATTATGCACCCTTTCTAGTCGAATACTGAAAAATTACATTTGTAATATGTTCACATACTATTTTTTATAATATAACACTGGAACGTGGATGTTTATTTTATTTGTAGAACAATTTAACTCTATAGAACTTGGCCACTGAACTTCTAGCTCTAACTAATGTAGCTACAACACACGAGATTTAAAATTAAAAGCACTTGTCCACATCTAATAAAAAATGACAATGAATAATCATGTCATACACAACATAAACAACATAAACACTCACTTGTACATATTCATATAATAGATCAATCAACACTGTCTCGTTTAGAGGGTTATCAAGTGGGAATTATATATAAATAATAAACATATTATAAACTTCAACATCTATATAAATGTAAATGTTACMGCAACACTAAACGCAGTTTAGAAAATGCTAACTAGTTTTTGACTTTTTGCAAAGTCAGTCAGTTTGACAAAGTTGAGTCAACTGTCTTGATGGTTGATAGCACACCAAGTTAGCATCGCTAGCTTTAGCTTTCAAAGACATTCTTCATGTCTGGGCGAGACGGCAAAGAAACAGAAGGAGTTTGGTCAACTTTCAAAAACCTGAGAGGTGATTACATTCCTTGCCGCTGACCATGAAGATAACTTATTTACGTCTGCAAACTCCAGCTCGGCCTACATCTAAAGTTAACTACTGTGAAGTTAGCCATTAGCTTCAACACTGCTAACTAGGCTAACGTAAGTCTCTTGTTTACATTTTTAACCTCGAAAGATTTTGTTGGAAAGACTGCTTTTAAACAGTATTAAGTACGTACACGTAGAAATTTTAATGCATATTTTAATATAAAAACTTATAATAAAGATTAGGGAAGACGAGCAGAGTAGACTATTACCTTTCAACTCCAGCTAATCGTCCGCTTGTTTCCAGCCGGCTAGGCCTGATCAGCCACTCACGCACAAATCAAGCGGGTAAAGTCCGTTCAGAGCAGAAGAAAAGGCACTAGAAACACATTTGTGCCCTAAATATGTCTCAAAAGAAATGCCTGTTGCAAAAGAAAGGCGTCCCAAAGGTACCAGACGCTGCACCTGTCTAAATATAGAAGATAATCCGGAGTTTGTGCATTTTTTAGATGCAACTGACGGCCATTAAAATATCCCCTCCCTCCTCGATGCTTGGAAAGACCCTCATCACGCACTACGCTGTTACAACAGAGRTGACCAATCAAAGGCACGAACGCTTTGAGTTCGTGCCAACATACGCGTCTCTGATTGGTTCAAAATAAAATCAAAACAAGCGACAGGGGGCGCTGCAGGATAGCTTTTTTAACTTGCGAATGTGCCAAATCATGACGGTCAATTTGTGACTGTACTGTTTACTATATGGTAATTTTTTTTTTTTGAGAATTTGAACAAACCATGAGCCTAACCACACACTAAATTAAATTCTATAACTACGGTTGTTACCTAAACAATTTTAAACAAAACAGTATGTCATGACTCCCAAACTAAGTTGCAGAGTTGCCTACAGTTTTTACCCTAATTGCAGTGTCTATTATACCCACCAGAAGAGGTTGCTGTAGAGCCTGTAGCTACTCATCCATATGCTGTATCTGCTAATCTCTGAAGAATAGAAGATAATCAAGAGGCCTAAACAGTGCCATAACAATGCATGCAGCCACACACTCCTGAGGTCATTCTAGAGTTGCCCTGCACATAGAAAACAGTACAGTCATTTAGTTTATTATTTCAGGCTATTTCAAAATCATTTAACGCCAAGATGGTGAATTTTTGATTTGTTGTCTGAGATAACAAATAAAAATAATGAAGTAACATTTGTAAATGCATCTGTACAGTATTGCCTATTAAAACTATAAATGTGCTTCTGCCCACAAACCATACCTTCACTTTATTGTGCTTAAATCATTCATTTATCAAAAGTGTAAGAACAATAGTTTTTTTGAAAATTTGAATAAACTCACAATATACACGGGGAAAAAGTTTGCAATTTTAAACCTTCAAAGATATTACACACAAATGACCAGTGTTATATATGGTCTGGTTATATGGTTTGCACATTTAGTGCACCATATAAACAGTGAAACGAATTTCAGGTAGTAAATTTGCTTATCATGATTGAACAGAATCTTATTAAAATGTTGAATTATCATTGAATTAACTGCTCAATTGCCTTTATTGTACTTCTACCCCAAAAAACAAGCATTTTAGCAGTACTGCCCTTGGGGTGTAAATGATGTAAAATAAATAAGTAAATTCTGGGTTTTCAGGATAAATGGTCATGAATGGAACAACACCAAAATTACCATTATTCCAGACAGAGATCCCAACAGCTCATTCAGATCACAGARGTCCTCTGAAAATTCTTGGTTTATGGTCAGAAACAATGTAATACATGTTGCTTCCTATAAAGCCCCTTTAAAATGCTTTTTAGGTGTTTGTAAGTTTTTCTTTTCCACAGGGTTCGTTTTGTTGTCAGGTTTCCTTTGCTCTGTCCTGTTTCTGTTTTTCAGAAGCATCATGACTTGACATGTAACCAAAGGTGTCTTCATTGCTTCAGTTTCAGTCATCCCTGTGCAACATTTGGACTAACATAACATTACATTCAGTCAGTGTTAAACATACAAAGTTTTGACATTTGGATGCATTTGGACTCAAAGAGAAACTGTCAGTCCACATCTTGGCCCAGGGGTGGTGATGTAATGCAGCCATGCCCTGCGTGACTGACTGTTTAGAAGTCTGGATGTGGCAGTCTGGCTGTCCTGTCTGCATGAACAGGCAAATTTTACAACTGACTCCAATGGTCTGTGTGCATGCTGTCATCTCTGATCATGTTACARTCTTTGATTAAACAGCTCAGGAATCTGCGCCATAGTGAAATAAAACAGAACCTTTCAGTTAAAAACTGGCTCAAACTCATTGAGACAAAGCTTCATAAATTACAGGATGCAACTCTAACAGAAAACCAGGAGGTGGCAGTAATTCTTACATCCCTCTGTACTTTTACGACTTCTTTTTTTCTTTTACCTTTGTTTCCAAAGTATTTCAATCYATCAACCAGGTCCTCATTGTTTAATAAAAATGAAGTAGAATGAGTCAAATTGTTATCAAATCCAGTAAATTCCATTAGTCGTGCAACTTGGCGTCTGGAGGTCAATGGCAAACTCTGCTCTGCAATAAAGTTTTGGTGTGGTGCATGGAAATGGAAAACTGAAAGTAAGCCATAGACTGGTCTGCAAGTCAAATGTGAATGCTGGGAAGGCAACCACTGAATAATCCACCAATATATATATATATATATATATTCCTGATTTTACAGCCAAGGGATGTTTAAGTAGCTGAGGTTAGATTTACAGTCAAACAGCACAAAATACAGTAAATCTGAGCCATGTTTGGTTAAAATAAAGAAAAACCAAATCTTCTGTGTGGTTTAACAGATTTCACATTTACTCAAAAATATTCAAGGAGCTGTTCTTTTTTTTTTATTTGCCCTGGTCTCTGTAAATCTCATAAGATCTACTTTATCGTTATTCCAACATTTATGTGGTAAACAAATCTCTCACCAATATTGAGCATGTATATACAAACCCCACATCTGCAACCACTGCATTGTGGGTCAGATCTTCGCTTGGCTCACACTCTTTGTCTCTGAGGTCAGCCTGCTCAGCCCCCCGGCCCAAGAATCACACCAGACCACGCTATCAAGCCCATATGAAGGCAATAAAAACAAATTCAATCCAGATTTCAGTTGGCTTCGAGTCCCTTTTCTGTGTATGCATTAGCACGAGCCAAAGACACACAAACTCTGCACACACGCACAAAGAAAATATTGACACATCAACCGAGGTACAGATGTATGGAAGTCTATCCCTGCAACTATGGAAAAAAAGTGTCAAACACCTTTTCACTAAGGGCCACATGAGCATTACGGTGGCCCACAAATGACTTTCTTGTGAACTTTGTGGTTTCATGTTTAATTTCAACAAAACAGGAACCATGTTCCTCAACTCATTGCTATGGCTGAGCACTGCCAACAAACAATAACTGAGCTCTACATGGTATTTTGTGCATTGAAACGGATTTCTAACATGTCCTCTCATAAACATAGAAAATTACTACGTGTACAACTGACTAAATGCGAAATAAGAGGTGTATATGTTTACTTTGTTACAGTACTTAAGTAATTTTTTGAGGATTTGTAATTTTACTAAGTATTGTTTGTAAACATAACTTTTGCTTTTATTTGGTTGTATTCAAAACATAAAAATCATACTTCTACTCCTTTATTTTAAAACTTAAAACATTTTTACACATTACAAATTTAAATATGACTGGAACACATCATGAAAAGTTGTTTATGTGCTTTTGAAAAATGAAGTGTTGAACTTACTCAACCAAATTATGTCAACTAGTTCCGCTAAACCAAGTTGAGTAAATGTAAGGCAATTTATCCATTTTATAATTTCTAATTTTCAGTAGGTATTTCATTAATATGCATTGGTTTATTTTTTTATTTTGGCAAAAGTGAGCTACCACAAGAGAACAAAAAACAGAGAAATGAGATGAAAATAATAGGACATGGGTAGCATATTAATGTGAAAAATGTAAGTAACCCCTTTATTTTTTGTCCCAGTACATACCACGTAATTACAAAAAAAATTCTACAGTACTTTTAAAAAAAAATGAACCTAGGAAACAACAAATACAATACAAAACAATCAGATTTTCTCAGAGTATCTAAATGGCTTACAAAGCTGAAGGCCTGACTGAGCCCAAGTCCCTGCTTTGTTTTTGTCCTTTTTGAGCAACAACAAAGCAGGGGAATAATAATAAAAAAATCAATAAAATATATATATATATTTTAATGTTTGTGAGCAAACAGTAGTAGCGTTGATAAAAGCATTAAGGACTAAAAGTGAAAACAAAGCACAGCAATGCTTTCAGAGCACCTGTAGTCGTTTGTTTCAAGACAAAGCCAGAATTTTCCTGGATGTGTGGCTTCTCTGGGCTTTCAGCCACAGAAGGGAAGGCGTGTCAGTCGAAGCTCCGCCTCCCACATAAGGTCCACTGGTGATGAGTTCAACCTAACTCCTGCGGTGCAATTCAAAACAAGTCATGGATCAACCTCCATTGGAACAACAGTGAGGATGGCGTCCTCGTTGCCACGTCGAACAACAACTTTCAAAGTGTCATCTTTTTTAATGGCGGCGCTGACGTCAGTCGCTGTCGAAATCCGATGGCCGTTGATGGATATGATGACATCATGCTCCTTAAGGCCAGCACTGAAGAAAAGAAGAAAAGATGAATTATTAAGGACACTGCAAGTTGCTTAGAACAGCAGATCCTTTTTGATTTATAGGCCTGATTGTTTTAGTTGAGTGATGGTTTTGGCGCAGTTTTAGCCACGCCAAAGTATCATTTTACTTTTAACCTCATTTTTTTTTTTCTTTAAGCCACAGACTTTCCTCTCCATTGCCACATCCTCCAGTTTTTACTGAAGCACCAAGGGATTCCCAGCACAACTATGAGATATCTATCTCGTAAGTCCTGGGGCTGCCTCAAGGCCATACTGGAGGGACATGTCTGCAACGCCTCCCCTGGGAGGGATCTGAACCATCCCAACTGTTCGATTCAACAGTAACCTCCTCCCTACATTTTTCAGCTGGCAATTCATTTGTATTAAAAAAGTCTATGTTGCACATTTATTTAACATTCCTTTTTAAAATATTTTATGTTTTTAAGAAATTGGTTAAGGAAATATCTTAAAGGGGCAATATTATGTAAAATCAACTTTTTTGAGTTTTATATCATGTTATAATGTTATACTCTCAAAAAAAAACATGCCCAAAGCCTTGCTTTGACTCATTCATGCATGTTTGAGAAATCCTGCAGTGTTTTTAGGCAGCCATGCTGAGGAGCAAAACGACAGGTGGGGACCAGAAACGCCTTTTGGTAACAGAAACGCCCCTGGGACGTGTCTTTAAGCTGAGTTTCCTCATGGCGGAGCGTCCCCCCCCCACACACACACACACACCCCGCCCATTACTCCTGCAGGTTCTCGGGTGAAAGTGAAACTTAACTGTCTGCTGAGCTCTCAACATTAGTTCTCACTCAGTGAAGCTCTTTACAGATTCAAAATACCTTTGAGGAAATGTATTTTCAGATGACAAGTAAACTGCACCATGGCAGGTCCCCGGCACTAAATGGGACGGGACAGAAGTGGAAGGCGGCTCTTAAAGAGACAGAAGCCAATTTCAAGGCGTTTAGAAGAGGAAGTGATGAGAAGATAAGTTTATTTTCTATTTAAACATAAAAACAGCATTTTAATAACAGCTAAAGATGACATAGACACTTTATTATGGTATAGTATTTAAATGTATGCCTGAGAAACACATAATATTGCCCCTTTCAGTAAACTACGGCTTGTAAAAGGCTTAAATCTCATTCTATCGATCACTTTTCCGACCACGGCCTCAGATTTGGAGTTGCTGATCCTCATTTAAATAAATAAAGTAACACGTTGGCTAAACGTATTGCCATGATAAAAAACAGATCAGCGGCGATAATAAAACTGACTTTAAACATAGCCCCTTAATTACAACCACATGAAAACACCACACATTCATTTCTACAACGTCCAATAATACAACAGTAATCATGAAACGCTCCCATTAATCACAGCTGCTCGAACACCCTCAGCACAGCAAATGTCTGCCTCCCTGCATTCACGGTAAAGATTTCCAAAAAGCCATAAAACAACACAACACGAATCATGATCAAAAGCCACCCCCATCCCCTAAAAAAGATGGAGCCAAGAAAAGAACACAGAATATTAAAGGGAACCACAGAAATGTTGTGCAGAAAGCTTCATGAGTTAAGTGGTGAGTAATCTCTGATGAGGCCTTGTAGGAAAGAGACAAAGTGAGCAGGCGCAGGAAACCGCAGCGCAGCCAGTCACCTCCCTGCATGAGGTTTGAAGGAAACGGCTGACCTCAGCGTCTCCCGCGCTCCACTCCTCTGGAGCTGTGATGGTGGCTGATGCCATTGTGGGAGGAATGGGATATTTTAGAACAACAGCACTTCAGGCATGCTGACGTTGGCCATCCATTTACATCCTAGTCGGTCAGTTGGGTGGGTGGGAGGCTACACGTGTGAGWGCATACTTGAAAGTTAAACTAGAGTAATAAAATTAAGCGAGGAAATGAAATATCTATGTCTATTTATGTGGCAGGTGGCAGAAAGGGGGTGCAAGGAAAGGGACACAATTACTGGTTGATTTAAGTTTGTGGTTCTCATTTACCAAAAACTCATAAAATGTAAGCCTAGAGCGATTCATATGAGCACAATGGCTTTCTTACATTGCAGCTGGTGTCTTTGCTATAACTTCCATAACATACGCTCCCGAGGTGATGTCTGGGAAGTCACGATGTCGAGTCTTCAGCTCTTTTGCCAAACTGGAAGGTGAAAAGAGGGTTAAACAAAACTCATCAATCATTTAAAGTTCCCCAAAAGAGATCACATAAATGACATTTTCTGGTGTTCAAGCATAACAAATTTATTTATTTATTTATACACATACATGCACAGCTGGCAAAGGTATGAAGCAACTTACACCGGAGTGAGAGTCATCATTCTCACACCAATATATTTCTTCTTTGAGTCTGTTCTCCCTAAAAAGGAGCAACACAGAAGGTTAGCAGCAAATATCAGCCACCAGAGTCATTACTTATCTTACATAACACAACACCATGTTTTCATCTGAACACACACACACACAGTCACGTACACATACAGACTGTTTTTGGTCTGCACAAGCTGGTTTCATAATCAAAATGTGGCTGCTTTCACAGTGAAGAAAGCTTTACATTCAGACACATACTAATAGGTCATGGAGGTCATCCTGAGTTTGTCATCCAGTGTGAAATGAAGTTTTAATGTTTTGTAGTAAGAATCTGCAAAGATGACTTAAGACTGTTTAAAGGGATCCATGATAGTTTTAACATTAGACTTTATTAAATAAACATATATTTTTAACTGTAAAATAAAGACTGTAAAAATACTGTAGGATGTTCAGTTTTTATCATTTTTAAACTAAAAGTTTAAAAATATATTACACGGAGGGGGCCATTTTATTTACACTCAAAGCATTCTGGGTAAATGATGACGTGGATAGGTCATCGGTGCGAGGCTGCTAGCGACCTATATCCACCCTAAAGTTTATTATTGGACAATATCTGACGATTGGCTCTTTTAAATGAAACCAGAGAGCGTTGACAGAGAGAAGAAGGTAGAAATGACTCAGCCTGTAACTGAAAATATAGATGGAGGACAACAGAGTTGCTTCATGGAAGAAGAACCTCAGCTTAGCCTGTTAGCTTTAGCGTTATCCCCGACACTATCACCATATGTATTAGCTCAGCGCTACAAATTCTCCTCGTCACTGAGGTCCTCCATGCACATGACAGAGAGGGGAACGTAAAAATGACTCAGCCTGCAACTGAAAATATGGATGGAGGACCTCAGTTTAGCTTGTTTGTCGTGCTAGCACCGAGTTAATACATATAATGGTGCGTTCACACCGAACGCGATTTCAGCTTCAAAATCTCAGCCAACGCTGAAGTTTGAAGCTTGTGCACTTTGAGGTCAGACGCAGGACAGCTGCGCTGCACGGCGACAGCCGCCCCGCCCCTCCCTCCTCTGTCGGGCTCTGTTTAATGTCGGACGAGGAAGTGGCTTTGCTTTATTTACAGAGAGCAAGAGCATGTCACGTTCATCAGATAATTAATTCACCAGATAATTCAGAGTAGAGGCTCACAGCTCGCTTTCAGGACTACTTTTCCAGTCTGATGAGTCGCTGCCACGCATTGGAGCGGATCAGGACACGACTGCAGGCACTCATTTCAGCTAAAGAGCTCCGCTCCGTCTGTTTCAGGTTAGTGGACATCATTCAGTAAACTGTCCCGTCGGGAAATATGTCGCTACCTCACACAGTGGAGTCTCTCTGATTGGTTGACGCGGCGCGTCGAGCTGCAAAAGTTCAGATTTTCTAACTTCAGCGATTTGTGCCTCAGCGCGTCGAACGCTCAGATCGTTCAAATCGTTCAAATCGCGCTGCTCTAATCGCGCTTGAGGCGCCGCAGAACTTCCCGACGTTGCTTGAAGCGCGTCCACCATAGACTTTGTATGTAAACCTGCTGCTCCTGACGCTGAAATCGCGTTCGGTGTGAACGCACCATAAGGCAATATAGCATCAGCGCTAGCGCAAAGACCAACAGGCTAAGCTGAGGTTCTTCCATGAAGCAGCTCTGTTGTCCTCCATCTATATTTTCAGTTACAGGCTGAGTCATTTCTACCTTCTCCTCTCTGTCAACGCTCTCTGGTTTCATTTAAAGAGTCAATCGTCAGATATTGTCCAAGATTAACCTTCAGGGTGGATATAGTTCGCTCACACCAAGGACCTATCCAGGTCATCATTTACCCAGAATGCTTTGTGTGTAAATAAAATGGCTCCATCCATGTTAAATTATATTTTAAAAAATTATAAAAACTAAACAGCCAACAGTATTTTTACATTCTTTATTTTACAGTTAAAATATACGTTTATCAAATAAAGTTTAATGTTACAACTAATCAGGGATCCCTTTAAATAACAAAAACAACACTGTTTTAAGTTTGTGTTACATACATTCTTAATCATCCAAGACATGGCAGTGTTAAGTTAATAAGTAGATGGCAACTGGACAACTCTTGCTTTGTAAATATGTTTGACCTTTCATCCAAAAGGCTTCCTGAGTTTCATCGAATCCTAACAAAGGAAGCCTTTTGGATGAAATGTGAAGTTTTCAACTGAAGTCCAGATGCCTTCTATTTAACTGCCTAAGATAAACTTACCAAATGATGTAAACTCACAATATGTGACTCTACAAACATGACATGTCACACCTGAAACCTAAAATGTAGTAAAACTGTCTAAAGGTGCAGTAAATTTGATCTCCTCTGTTAAGTCTCAGCCCAACTCTTCTTCCATCGAAGAGAAGCAATGAAAATGTGAAAAGTTGTCATGAAGACCACCTACCTCTGGACTGTCTGTCATATGACTCAGCTAAAAACTGTCTAATTTTGTCTGAGGGGATGGCAAATGAAATTCCCGCTGTCACTTTCAACGTATTGATCCCGATCACTTCGCCATCCTTTGGAAAAATGAAGAAAAAAACAATCAAACTTCGGTTCTATATCAAGAGGATAAAATAGTGTTTTTCCACTGAAAATAAAAAAGAAGCTTACCAGATTAACTAGAGGCCCTCCAGAGTTGCCATACTGTGAACCAAAATAACACCTCACTTATTATATTTGTTAAAAGGACAAAATGATCAATTACAATGCGCCATTTTAAATTTACATTGATAATGGCATCAGTCTGAATGTAGTCCATGTCAGAGTTGCGAAGGCCAAGCTCTCTGCCGCCTCTCTGAGTGGTGCTGACGATGCCGGTAGTTACGGTGTTCTGGAGGGAAAACGGGCTGCCGATAGCAACCACAAACTCCCCTGGTCTCAGGTCTGAGGAATGACCCAGCAACAACACTGGAAGTTTGTTCTGCGAGAAGGAAAAAACAGAAAGACAACATTATTTCTTTGTGAAAACAATGTTTCTTGGCAATAAGGTGTAGTGAATGATCATAAAAAATAACCTTATCATCTGCCACTGATTTGGTGGTAAATCTATGCTGTGTTTGTAATGTCACTGGGCGTATGTCTTTTGGTTTAGATAAGTCAATGACTCAGAAATGACACATTGACCACTTCTTCCTCGTTTATACTAGAGCCAGCAAAAATCTCAAGTGATACATTTCTGGCATCAATGGAATATATATATCCTCTGGGGGTTGGTGTCAGAGCACTTTTAGCCTCCTTCACAAGTCAGATTTGTTTAGTTTAGTTTGGACAATAAGGACAACACTACAAAGAGTTTCTTCAACATGATCCAAATCTATTCAAACTTCAACATTTATTAGAGGCCCAAGCACTACTGTAGTTTTTCCACATTTTTTGTGTTAGAAGAATATCTGAAAAACTCTTTTGCAAGTGAAGACCAATGTCAAAGTTTAAATATAATACAAAACTTGAATGATCTGTTCAAGCCAAAACCACATTAAATGTTGAACAGTAATTATTTTTAATGGTTTTTAGTTACTGATGCATTGTTAAACCAAATAAACAGAACACAATAAAAAACGACCGGTTCTAAAAGATGATTCTAAGTTTTACTTCAGTCCCTCCAGTGAGCCTCAGACTTCCCATGATCTTGTGTTTTACGAGGGGACACTTTGAATAATTACAGCTGAACCACAATTCTCTAAACAGCAGCCACCCACTGCTGCAGGCCTGTGTTCCCACACGAAACAATCCCTCTCACACCACAGGGAGAAGTGACATTCATGGCAAACAACTCGATACGTAAATAATCAAGATCCTAATGCTTATTTGTTGGACCTAAATCACTGTTCCGCTGACCCCATGTGTGCTCATGGCAAAGTGTAATCCCATCCTCCACAGATGCTGCAAAACTGACTGATTTACAGAAAATAATGACTTCTTTAAGATCTGGTTAGGTCGGCTAAGAGCAATGGAATCAAGATGGTGAGAGTTTTTTTTTTCTTTTTTACAAACAGCCACAAAAGGATACCATTTTCGTGACAGTTTAATTGTCTAACCCAAATTAAGATTTAGTGCTGTGCCAAATTGTGATAAGTCTGTGCACAACAACAAAAAAAGAATTGAACCCTGCCATTGTTCCTCCTGACTGCCCTTAAAGAACTGAGCTATAATTGAAGACCTAGTGTTTCTTGAAGGAATGCATATTGCCCACCACCTTTCATGCCAGTGTTTTAAACTAAAATTGTTTTTATGCTGAGAAAGGATGGGATTATGGCTGTTTCAGTCAAACCTTGAAATTGATGTTACAACCAATCTCATGCGACGTTGAGAGAGTTCACCAGATACAGCAGTTCTCTGAGAATGTTTTGACCCAGGTTGACAACAGTTAGTTGCATCCATCCATCCATCTATCCATCCAACCATCCATCCATCCTCTTCTACTTATTCCGAGTCGGGTCAYGGGGGCAGCAGCTTGAGCAGGGAGGCCCAGACCTCTCTTTCCCCAGCCACCTCTTCTGGAAGAACACCAAGGTGTTTCCGACCCAGTTAAGAAACATAGTCTCTCCAGCGTGTTCTGGGTCTTTCTCAGGGTCTTCTTCCAGTTGGACATGTCTGAAGCACCTCTCTAGGGAGGCGTCAAGAAGGCATCCTTACCAGATACCTGAACCACCTCAACTGTCTCCTCTCCCTAATAACTGAAATTCTCACCCTATCTCTAAGGGAGAGTCCATCTACCCCATGGAGAAAACTCATTTCGACCACCTGCATCTTCAACCTTGTTCTTTTGGTCACCACCCAAAGTTTGTGGCCATTGGTGAGGGTAGGAACATGGATCGAACAAAACAGAGAACTTTGTTTTTCAGCATAGTCTGCTATATTGCAGAAGGCACTGAACTGGACTCCCTCCACCGCCTGGCTGCACCAAGATATTCTGTCCTATAAAGTTATGAAGTGAATTGATGTCAGGGGTCCGACTCACTGCTGACAATGCAAAACAAACTCTTGCACCACTTGTATAGGGACTGAATGACCCGTAACAGTGGACCCATGATACCATACTTGCAGACACCGCAGTCTACCTCGAGGAACACAGTCAAACACCTTCTCCAAGTTCACAAAACACATGTAGACTGTATGGACAAACTCCCATGACCCTTTATAGGCCCTGATGAGGGAAAAGAGATGGTCCGGTTTTCCACAGCCAGGACAGAACCTGAATTGTTCCTCCTGAATCTGAGGTTTAACCATCAATTAGACTCTCTTCTACAACATACCTAAATAAACCTTACCAGGGAGGCTAAGGAGAGTGATGTCCACATAATTGGAAAACATCCTCAGGTCCACCTTTTTGAAGAGGGGAACCACCACCCCTGTCTGCCAAGCAAAAACAATTTCAAGCAAAAATGTTTCACAATATGTAGCACACTGAGGTGGTCTAGCTGCATTAGTGCCAATAGTATGGGCAGCTAACACATTGAGAAAGGCACCATCATTGCAAAAAAGTTGATACAGGTTTTAGAACAACATATGCTCCAATTCAGGCAAGAAGGCCAAGAAGGCCTGTCCTGTTTAATCAAAAATAATACTAAACTCATTACAACAGCATGGCTTCAAAGTAAGAGTTCCGTTGCTGACCTGGCCTGCCTGCAGTCCAGATCATTCACAATGAAAACTTGACACATAACACAAAGAATCTAGAAAAAAGTCATACATCAGACAAGAAAGGGACATTCTCTCAAAAAAAAAAGCCAGCAACTGGTCTCTTTGGTTCTTTAAATTTGTACAGATTCTTATTTTAAACAATTAATGTTTGCTATGTTTTACCTTAAACAAAAGAAAGGTTTCTTGGACCTGCAAATAATTGCATTCTCTTTTACAGAATGTCAAAACGTTGTCGCCATTGGGGTTGTTTAAACCAGGAAGCGTGCATTTCAGACACCTGACACAAGTGCAGCAGTCTGAAAAATCACCCCCCACTTCCCTCCTTCTGAGAGCTTAACCAGATGGCGAAAGGAGGCAAGAAAAACAGCTGAGAGAAAGAGGACGTTAGGTGAATGAAACGATGATTATAATAACAGCCAATCWTGCTGGTTGATACATGGTGACTGGGGCTACTTTGACTTTGGTTAGTACTAAAAGGATGTGAGGTGTTAAATAAATGCTGCGTGTAACACCGAACAGAATCACTCACACAGTCACACTGCATTCTGAAAAGAAAGATGTACAGAGTGCACATAGAGGACAAACCAAACCTATGTGAAAATGCAGAACAAAACACAAAACCTGCAGACTACTCTAAGTAAAAAAAAAATACCTTTGCTTACATATTGCTTGATTTTTTGCAAGTCAGCAATCTGGAACAACTTGTGGAAATTCAGCTCGCCATGTGAGTCTGCACCTCCTGACCACCCAAGTGACTCACGGTGCGATTTCAAACGAAGGTTGATGGTACTTCACTATAGCTGCACTTTAAAAAAAGAGGTAAAGACAGCAATAAAGGCCRCAAACCACAGGGTGAAGACTTTAGGAATGTGAAGAAAATGAGCAACTGGCACTTGAGTTTGGAAAAAATAAGCTGATGGTCTACAAGTACTTTAAGACCCTAAAAAGTTTACTTTTGAAAAACTTATTCCAAAAAAAAACTTAGTTTCTTTGGCAATGGTATGGTTTTAACCAACTTACTGTCACCTTACGCTGAAGGTGAAAGGGTGATAATGTTTTTTTCCACATACCTGCATGTGTGCATTTGCTTGTTGTTTTAGCAAAATATCTCCTAACCAATGAACAGTTCTTCATGAATTTTTAACATAATCACATTCAAGATGGCCGCAACAACAAAGCCATTCAAGGGAACACAAAAATGTCTATAMTAACAAGCTAAAGTTTGAGCTTTAGAGTGAGTTGAGTTTGAGCTACTGAGCTAAAGTTTGGTGGGGTAGTAGCTGACACATCACGTACTCTGAGCCCAACACAWTGGGCAAAGTGCTTGCTTTAAAACTTTATTATTAACTGTTAGCATCAACCAAATACATCTGGCAAGATTTTATTCACGTTAAAAGTTTTGATCCTTTTGCGCCTCATTAAAAAACCATTACACTAACTACTGTTTTATGGCCTGACCAGTTGCAAACTTTCACTCTGCTCAAGCTTAAATCGATTGTGGTTTAATAGTTTTTCTGAAGCTCACACAAGAGCACATAAAGAGAGGAGGAGGAGGAAGAACCAATAGCCTGGGCAAGAACTCACAAAGCAATGTGTGTAAATTAAAACCTGCACACCTGGCACCTTCAGCTTACAGCTAGACCACTTCAAAAATGCATATTAATTTCAGGTTGTATACAAAGTTTAGCTCCAGTTACTTAAAACCTCCTACTTCTTTAAACGACTTTGAAGTAAATAATTCATTTTATAGGTTCTAGCTAAAAAAAAAACATGACTTTAAGGTAGAAGATTTTTACAGCTGACGTTTGAACTTGTGCCCTGAAGGTTGTGCTAATGCAGATGAAAATGTGGCAGGATCCAGCATGCTCCTGCATCAAGTGACAGCACCAGAAGATCAGAAGAGGGGTTGGGAAAGAGAGGACAAAGAGGAAAGTGTGTGCTTACCTTTAAGGAGACTCGCTCATGTCTGCTTGTTTGTGCATGTTTGGTCCAATTACACAAAAATGCTTATGTGTAGGTGAATTAAAAGCTGAGGTCAGCAGTAAAAGTGGATCTTTACTCTGCATAGCAGTTTCTTGTGTTATTGGTTTCCAGACCCTACTGGGTAAAACCATATCCTTGCAGAAACCACCATGGGTTCCATATGTTGGTTGAGAAGGATTTTCTGGTCTTCGTAAGAACAAACATATGTCTGACTTTCTTGTGGGACTGTAGCTGTGTATCAAAGCTCAAGAGGATTCAACGGTGTCTCGTTTCTGGCCAGACACCACAAAACTC